ATGATTTGCAGTCCTGGTTGAACCATGTCTCGCTGGTAGTTAAACCAGGCCCTTCAGGCCACAGGAAACCTGCCACCTCATTTACGTTCATTTTGCCTTTTCACCACAGAAGTCACTATTATTTTCCCCATCAGGGACAGGGGAGGGTGTCATGAGAGCAACCGCTTGTATTTTTCTCCTTTTTTTTTTTTTTTTGGTGGTGGGGAAGTAATTTGAAAGCATGTTGCCTAGAGCCATAGGTAAACCAGCAGCTCTCCAGCTGTTCAACTACCCGATCGTGTCTGGCAGCAGTAGTGTGCGAGAGAGGGAGCCTGCTTGGGGCTAGGCAAGAAAGGACGAAGGGTCTCCAGCAGGTTAGGACGCAGGGTGCCACGGTCTGGGAGGATACAGGGTGCTAGGCATGACTTCAGTGGAGCCTCAGACAGTTTGTGGTTCTGCAGATACTGGGGAGTTGGAGGTGCTGGGATGTAGTGCTAATCCCCAGCTTGCACTGATCTGTGAGTGCTCAACATGTTGCTGACATTTGCAGATGAAAGAAAAAATGGCCTTTTGCTTAGTTGTTACTGCAGTTGAAAAACAATGTCTTTGGCCACATATGGCAAAAAAAAGCTGACATCGGTGATGAGATTTTGTTATGTCATTTCGCCTTTTTTGTGTGCATGCAAGACCCAGAAACCATTGTTTGGAACAGTTGTTTATTCCATACCCACCATCACCCCTGCTCATGTTACAGCAGTCAGGATATCCTTAAACGTTTTTTTTTTAAATGTTGTTTAGACTGTAATATCTTACCTATAAATCTGAGGGACTCCCTATCGCTGCATCTTTGTCGTGACTTGCACATATCCTCTTAGGAGTGTTTAAATAACTTATCTGAGATGAGAATGACATTATGGCAGCATGTAACAATTTAGTTAATTTTATCTTTTTAATCCCATTTAACAGCTGGGAAAAATGAGGAAAATTACTAGCAAGGATTCGTGGCTGTAGCTGTACCCTGAGCCACCAAAATATTTAAGCACACGGGTAGTCCCGCTGTAATTGATGGACTTGTTTGTAGGTTTAGGGTGTTTGGTCAAGTCAGCACACTCAGGTCAAGTCTCATGTGAGCAATATTTCTCCATTTTTTGTCAATCATTAGCAGGAGTTTCACAAACCATCTTCTGCCAATAGATATGATAGGGTTTCAGGCCTCCTGTTAAGAGGTTCCTTGTCCTTGCCAAAATCACAACCTAATTAAGTAGGAGGTTTTATTCTGCTGCTGTTAGTGTGAGTAATGAAACAGTAAATGGAAATGACTGTATCAAATAGGATGGAAGGTAGAAGACACAAGATGGAGAAAGAGGGAAGGAAAGGTGTTGCATCTGAAAATGTGCAGAATAAGAAAGATTACAGGAAAGATATTTCACATGAAATGGGAAGTGAGAGAAGGGGAAAAGTTGGCAAAAGATTGCAGCCAAATCTGGTGCCTTCCTTCCTTTCTTTGTTACCGGTCTCATCCCCTCACCACCTCTTTCACGGGGCCTTCATCTCCAGAAACCCTTGTGGAGCAGAGCAGTTTATCTTAACATTTTTCTCTTTACAGCTTGTGTTGCTCTTTTCCCCGGTCAACATTTTACTTCAGTTCTTAAAACTTACTATCCTTTTAACAACACAAGCAAACTTGTATGGAAAGATTTGTTTCAGAGGTCTGGTCAGTGTAAGTCCAGCTAAAACGGAGTATCATTTGTGCGTTGACCTTACAGTTACTGTTCAACGATACCGAGCAGAGGTCCACCCTACGCTAGTTTAAGGATGATCTCACTTTGGAACTAGCTGCTTCAAAGATTAAAGCTTTATATATTGTCAAATTATGGTTTATCAGCCTCAGACCACAGACAGGTCTTCCTCAATAATTGGCTAACAAATCCAGAAAAAATTCTCAGAAGAAGTCAGGGACACCTGGAATCACAATGCCTTTACTACGATGGAATACAAAGCCTATTTTTCACACCTTCTTTCATCTTCAAAACTCACCCTTTGTAATTTAGGAAGGTGATTAGATAATATACCTTACATACAACACTTTGCCACCCTGTTAAGTACAGTTGTTACAACACAAGAAAATGAATTTATAATAGAGTTAGAAAGTTGAACATAGAGAGTAATGTGTGCTGGAATGGAATACATGGGCAACGAAGAAGATATTAACCAGAAGTGGCACTTCAGATAAACATTACAACCAGTGTGTGCTTTTAAATATAGTGAAATGGTTCTGTGCGTTTGATAGGACATCCTGTTGCTTGAGAAGTAATTTGCATTCTATCATTATGTGTTGGACAAAGACTGAAACAAGTTTTCATAATTATCGTGGAGAATAGAGTATAAATTGTGCATTTAGATCGCAAGAAAAAAATTATTCAAACATGGTAACTTAATAAACTTTAATATGCTAAACAATTATGTTAAGATTAATTTTTACCTTTTTGCTGTACATTTGTGAACAATTACAGCGTACTCAAAATGAAAAAAAAAGGGGTTTTAATGTTTGATATGTTTATTTGTGTATTTCATCTGCATGCATAACAACACTATGCTTCTGGATAAGAAATAGTTTCCAATAGAACAATTCTGATGTGACTGCATTTCCAGCTTTCTGGGGAACCATCCAAGTTTAACAAAAAACCCCCAAACCCCTGTGCATTTTAGTTTAAATTAAAAAAAGGATTTCCAATAGGTTTTAAGTGAAATATCATGAAAATACTGATTTTTCTTTCAGCAAAAAGCTAAGAGCTGATTCTACCACAATGACACCAAAGAGAGATCTGCCATTGGCTTTATGGTGAGCAAAATGGGCTTTGTAAGGTTTGGGACATTTTTAGAACATTCTCTGTCATCCGGCTTGTTTTCTGTTAAAACCAATGAAAAGACCCCTGTGGCGTTTTGCAGGAATTGGATCAGTCGTACATCTGTTCTATATATAACTTACACACTGCCATTGGTGTTTGTGGGAGATAAGCTCCCAACCCAAAGGAGCTGTCAGAGTGACGGCTTTTTAGATAGGTAAGGCAGGTTGGAATAGTTGCTGTGGCAAAGGGCAGTTAAGAGTTGTGTGAAACAACCTGCAGCTTTGCAATGTTTTGAAAGGCCAGGCTCTGTAACTGTCTTAGCAGAGTGGTGTAATTGCACATCTGTAGATATTTATTGCTTTCTGTAGCAGTTGCATAAGAACCTATGTGCATTAAGGTTTTAATTTTAAAAGTCTCCTACCATGGAAATGCTCCTTACCGCATTTCTGTGTGGGACTTACGCTTACGTCGCTCGCTGCGGGGCTATTCCAGTTTTCTACTAATTAAAACTACAATACATAGATGTAGAACAAGATGTAATGTAGAACTGAATCAAACTCTGTGTGTCAGACAGTACCAAAGTCTAGTAGGATGGTTTTAGTTGTACTTCAGTCTGTATTTTAAGTTTCTCCCACCACTTTTTTGCATAGCAGTCAATATTTTGATTTGCCTATTTTTTTTCTCTGTTGCATCCCACATCTTTCTGTCACTCAGAATGGACCATCCAAATTATTTAAATGCTTTACCTTGTTTACAGAAATGTTATTACTCTAACTGCCTCCATACAAGCTCTCTAACTAGTATTTCGTCAGGAATCTTTCTGTTGGTTTTAAAAAGAGTTGAATAGAACTGTGTTGGAATTCTACTGTAAGGAAATTGATTTCTTTCTATTAGAAGTATCAGTGTCTCAGGTATTATGCATTTACATGATGTGCAGATTCTTTGTTTTTCTCACGCTAACATTTCTGTAAAGATCAATTTCTAAGACAAGATCTTATTTTTATTTCTTGTATTTAATAATTTCTGGTCACTTAAAAATTGAATTTAGCTTGCATATTAACAAAATAAATTCTGACTTTTTTTTTTTAATTGGTTTGTTTTTGAGATGGAACCCTGCTTCTTCCAAGGTATCTAAGCATCCACAAACGAGTCATACTTTCTGATATCCTCAGTACATAAACATGTGAATTAACACAGTAATGAATGTGAATGACCACAGTAATGATTTAAAGCAGAGATTCTTGGCTTGTATTTATTCCTCACTTACATGGACCACAAAGCTATGATCTCTTCTAAGAAACCAGTGGGTCTGATCCTAGTGAGGGGAAGAAAGGGAAGTGTTGGGCTGAGTCACTGAGGGGAAGGAGGATGGTGGGTTTAGCAGGTCTTGGGAGCAGAAATGTGATTGCTGTAGCAAAAAGAGTGGAGAGAAATGAGCATGTGGGGCAGCTGATACTTTGTGGGTTAACGCTGTGTACATAGTACCTCACCAAGGCCAGGAGGGAATTAATGGAGAGGACTGAAAAGCAGTCTTGTGAGCCTCGGTGGTAAGAAATGACCAGATGCCATCCCGATCCACCTGATGAAACAGGTATCTATGAAAGAAACTTGCATCAAAAGAAAACCTACCTATGCCCCCCCTGCATCCGTAGCAGGCGATTGTGTTTCCGGAGATCTTCTCCTGTGGCCAACTTGGTCATGGTGAAAAATACAGCCCACATGGCAGTAAGAGGACTGTATGTATGGTTTCCTTGAGAAAGTAAGCGGGGTCTACCTCAAGCTGTGATGGCCTACAAATATCAGCTAACAGAGCCACATACCTGATAGCAACATTCTCTTACAGTGTAGTAAGTATGTCAGTTCTGGACAGGATTTGATCTGGTAACCTCTGCTTATCGTGGACATTTTTGAGTAATTAAAATCACCTTGTCAGTACCTGGATCATTGTTAAGATACTTAGAAATGACTGCAGTGCAACTAATCTGGTACTGAGACATAAGTGCCCATCTACTATGCATTTAAAGGTATGAAGTATTACAAATTTTGTAAAAAAACACTAATAAACTTTTTGTGTTAAAACATCATGGCTAGTCTACCTCCCATGAAATCTCAGCTTGAACTTATTATCCAGATCGTAACAAGATGACATTCGTCTTTCAAGAACAGTGGGGTTTACTCAGGCTTTTTTTCCACTGATTTCTTTCCCTGCCTATCCATGCTGTCTGTGGGCTGAGGAACCGTTTCTGCTACTGCTGCCTTTCCATCAGTCTTCTTTGCTGCTCGCTGGTTGCTCTTTGTATCCTTTTCTGTTTCCACAGGGGCGATTTCATTTGGATCAGGTGTCTCTTCTGTAGCAATAATTTCTTCTACATGTGGCCTAATAAAATCTGATTTAGGAGAAGTAATAAAATTTCCCTTGTATTTACTCTGCTCAGCAACACAGAGGTACATAGAGTAAGATTTTGCTTTCACATTGGTTATGACCTTGTCGTGTTCTTTTCCCATACCCGTATAAAGGGATTCAGTATCACAAACAACATTACTACTTTTTACAGAGCCAAAAGCAAGCCCAGGTCTTTATGGTCTCTAATTAAAAAGATTAAGGGGTAGATCCTGCGAAACATTTACAGACGTAGATAATTTTTTCTCACATAAGTCACCTCATTTACAAGACTGCTCAAAAATGTCTAGATTACCCATCCCAGTAAGGCAAGAGAGGAAAGAAATGCAGTTAAATATTTGTTCTTGCCTTAGGAGCAGAAAGGGGAGGGGAATAAGAGTATAAAATGTTCTGTCAGCAATGGTAGAACATGTATACACCCTGTAGGCAAAGAAGGAATACTGAGGCAAAAATATGTAAAGCAGATGTTCTGATAATGTTGGAATTTAAGCCTTATTTGGAGCTAAAATGCTCAATGTGAGGGAGTTGTAATTGTGAAGAATAAATCAATGTCTAAGTAGCAATTATATAGTAAGAGTCTAAAAGAACAGTAAAAATCTGTAATATAGAAGAATGCTGAATCACCAGAGAGCTTTTAATTTTCCACCCTTTCTCTAAATTGGACAAAAAAATGGTCACTTGTAATTCCAACTTCACCATTCAATATGGACATAAACGTAAGAGAGAATAATTGATTAATATCAAGTAGTGGCTGTATGATTAGGGTTTTCTAAAATATTTTGGCATTTATAGTCCCTTAATTAGCAAGGCCTTTTTTGTTGTTAAGTGTCAAAGGTGTAGCTGCTGAAAGGAGTCTCACTTTGGAAAATAACACCATCTGCATATATATACATGCTTAGGAGGCCTTTCCTCTGCATTCAGAAATTTGAAAGTATTTATTACGGCTTAAAAAACTTTCATCAGTGAGGTGAGCCAGGATGAGAACTCACAGCCTAGTGGAAAGGTGATTTGAAAGTGCTGATTTAAATCTCTTTCACTGAGGTTTAACCCAGCAATTCATACTTTGCATTTATTGTTGATTAAAAGCATGCATACTGTAAACTTGATTGTTTGGGACCTGAGAAATATTGATTGGCACAGACTATTAACTGCGTAATGTTTAACAATTTTTTCATTGGAGCAGAAGACCACAAAGGTGAAAGTGCTCTTACCTTTCTTTTCCTCTTCCTTCCGTTTGCTTACTGTCATTTTTTTTTTCTTTTTAGATACAGTTACATTATTTTGATCGTGTCCTTGGACTGTGTCAGTCTGTCCTGACACAGAAATCACAATCACCTGAAGCAAAGCAAGAACAAAAAATGCACAAGCAAGAAATGTGGATGTGTCACAAATTCAGCCTGAAACCACCGTAACTGAATCCCATTTAGAAGCATCTATTACTCAAATTTTCAGAGACACATACACCTTCTGCAGCAGAGAAGCAGAATCCAGCCTGTTATGTGGCAGACGGCCCACTTATGTTCCCCTGTAGTTCTGCCAAAAAGAGGGAGGCAGGAGGATGGAGTTTTGAAGACGAAGTAGTAGAAATAAACTGCTGCCAAAATGCAACCGTTATTAAAAATATGCTAAGTAGTAGACGTTGGTTATCAGGTGTTGCAAGGAGCACGTCATGTTCTTGTTTGCATTCTGGAGGATGGAAGAGATGTGACACTTGCTTTTATAGCGTCTGTCCTGAGACCAAGACGGAGTGACCTGCTTCTCATCCTTGATTTTGTTTCATATCATACTAAGCGGAATTATCAGATGACTACATCTCAGATTACAGATATTCTCACTGTTATATTTTGAAAAATAAAAATTCAGCCATTTTACTTTGTCTTATAAACAGCTGTTGTGACTAAATATTCTGAACTTTTTTTTTAATAACTGAGATGTTGATGCATTGAGGTATGTGATTACACATTTAAACTTTAAAATTGCAATAATCTCATCAAGACTGGTAGCTGAGTTTGAAAATTTTCAGGAGATAAGGCTGCGTGAAGACTGAACACATACACTGTTCATGTAAAATGTTGAAAATATTAGTTATACATAATTTCATCTTAAAAATCACTCTGATGTGAAATCTATTCTGGAAGAAACAAAGGCTTATACCAGATAAGATGCTCCTTGAAAACAGCGGCACTATTCATGGATAAAGTTAAGCACATGCTAAAATGTTTTTGTAGGTCATAAATATCATCTAGGCCTGGATTTTATTTTTTATTTTTTAATTATTAAGATCATAATCATTAGCCCTTTATAGAAACTGATAAAAACACCCTATTCAAATATTGCAAAAAATCACCACTTTCACCATTGATAACTGTATTGACTCTCTTGTTACATGAGCCATTAAGAATTCCCTTATGCATCCACTTGGCCTTTAATATGAGCCGACAGTAAGCCTCAGATGACAAGGGTTTAAGTGAGCATTAGCTGCGAGCTTACTAGTGGCATCCTCAGAGAAGTGCCAGTACTGCAGCAAAATGAGTGCCTGGGCAACTGTGCTATTTCTATAGTCACAGCAGCTGAAAATGGCAAGAGAAGACATGTGAAAGGTGCACACAGATCATGCTTACACCAAAAATATATACGTTAGTTCTTTCATGTGAAGAATTGTGCTAATTAGCAACTGGGCTGATAATTGCTTCGGATCATATATATATATATATATATACACACATGATGTATACGGACATACATGTACATTCTGTTGCCCTTCCTGAGGTAATAATAATCAGTGGCATTGCTGTAAAATAGCTGACACAAAGTTTTTAATCTGTAGAAGTGTGTTCAAAGATCTGGATGAATAGCTTTTGTCTGAAAAAAACCACTCTTTTTCTATGTTCCAGTGAAGATTCTTTTTGTATCTTTGAAAGATCTTGAAGAAATACGTTATTTCTGATCTCCAGTGTTAAGTTTGGATGAAATTAACTGAGGTCTCAGTCTAAAAGTTCTTACCTAACACCCTTAAATCAAAATTCGTGAGCAGGTCCATTGAACTGCCTGAGATGATTACTGTGCCTGAACCATGTTAAGTAGAGATGTGAAGCAGTGAAGGTCTGGACAGAAAGGTGTGAAGAGATGCCATTGTGGGTTTTGCCGTGAACAGTAAAGTGAAGATTAACAGGGATCTAAAGGAAAGCTAGAGGTAATTACAGTGGTGAAAGCACGGAGGTACTAAGACACTGTTGTGCACAACTACCAGAGCCGTGACTAGTAAAGCAAGACACAGTGAAACAAGCTTGTGACGGAAGGAAAGAAGTGAATTCAGTTTATTTGTGAAAACAGAGGAGAGTTCATACATTTTTGCAGACACACACACACACATTAGTGTTCTGGCCTCCTAAGCCTAATTTTCATTTATGTTACAGTACTTTTACCCCAACTGGGCAGATTAAACAATATTTATGGATGTAAATGACATCCATATTAAGGCCTTTCTAAATTAACACAGCAATACAAAGGGGCCTTAATGTAGACGAAAACCAGCACTAATTTCTCCATGATTTAATTCTCTAACACATTCCATCTATGCTACTTTACCAAAGTTGGAACAAATCTAAACTGCTGCTCAGAAATGCCTCGACCATTTTTTATCTTTCCATCTACCTCATCAGTTGCCTCCACTGAAATGATTCTTCATGCTTTCCATTTTTGTTGTGTGGTCAAATGGTGGACCTGTGTTTACAGCCAGCATGCATCTGGCCTGGCAGAAGATGCTGCAGCTAGGTTCTGTGAAGTTAGCAGTAAGAAAATACTTTGGAAAGGCCCTGTTGTCCCTGGCACAATTAAGTGTATTAGAAGCAAAAGTGAAGTAAATGGAAAAATCCAAGACCGCCTGCTACAGCAGAAAGTCATTTACACACAGAGATTATGTCAGCCTAGCATCCAAAATCTCCCCCATACTTCTGTTTCCTAGTCTTAAATTCATGCTTTCATTTTCTTATCTTCTTTCTTTTTCTCTTGCTCAGACTGTCTCTCTTCCTCAGGTATGAACACACTTACAGTGACATCGCTGGTCTCTGTGCCATACTTGTTCTTCACCACAATGCTGTATTTCCCAGAGTCGAGCGTGGACACAGTAGAAATGGTAAAGCTGACATTTTTTCCAGATTCAAATTTCAGGGTGCAGTTAGCATCTGATACAAATGATTTTTCATTCTTCAGCCATGAGACCTCTGGGCTAGGATCTCCCCAGACAGTACAAGAAAGATTAAGCGCCTGTAGAAGAAGTAAAAAAGGATTATAAATACAAGTCAGTAAATATTTGCTGTGTTTTTTGATGCCTGACTCTCCAAATGTTCCACTCTTCATTTAGCTTCCTGCTTTTAGTAAATGGATGCATATCATCATCAGTAATCAATAATTTTTGTCAGTCTTCTGTATCATAAAGGAAAAGAAGGAACTCAGTAAGGAAAAGAAGGAACTCAGTTAAATCAAAAACTCCATTAAAACCTTTCAATATTTTATGGACCTTCTTCTCTCATAATCATTAGTAGAGCTTTCTCCATGCATACTGATTAATATAAAATCAGATATTATGTCAGACCTGAAATGAGAATTTGAGGAACTGTCAGGTGGATTTGTTTGCGTTAAGTTCACTATATATTTGCTGCAGAAGTAAAGAAAGTGTGCCTGCCTTTTTAAATAACTAAGAACAAAGTGTCCCTGGCATATTTTGTTTAATTTAGGATCTTCTTAAACTATGCCCTGACAGCTCTTCCAACAGGCTTGAATTGTTTTACGCACTCCTGTAAAACTATTTTTAACTGGAATCAATTCAGGCTTTACCCTTTCTTTGGTGTTTGTATAAGTGTTTCCCTTTGATGTTAGTAATGTTCCTAAGGGCTGAATTCAGTCCCATCAGACTGAAGGAAGTATCTTCATTGTCAGATAGCCTGTTGGAGAAATCCCTGGCAGTTGGATACTTTCTGTAGGCTGGTGAGTCTTATTGTGCGCACAATGTCCAGGCCTCCTTTTTTTGTTGTCAGCTGAAAAATTCGTATCTGGGAGACACCAATACATATAAATGATTGCCTCTTCCAGTCACAGTGCCATGGGAATCTTCTCAAAAGAATTTGTGAAAATGAACATCACGTAGAGTCAAATGTTAAAAATGTTGATATGAAACTTCAGTGGTACATAGGCCTTTCTCTGGACCTTTATCTAAGAAGGAATCCATTTATGTCTATGTATTAAATAATACATTGGCCCAAACTTAAAAGTTATTCAAAGTAGAGCTGGGGTTTTTTAATGGAAATTGAAGAACTTTTACTGCAGCGAACATGGTCTTCAGAGGTTCACTAGGAATGAACTAAGTGATACATAAGGAATGGACAAGTTTCCACTTGACTGGAATCAAGTGTCCCTTACTTTTTTTTTAAAGGCTTTTGATAAAAATACATCAAAAATAGAGACAACTGAAGAGCACTCACACTGTTGGCCATGTAGGCTGTCATGATAAAAATCTACCGTGAGAAATCTGTTTAATAGGCTACCTTCCCTTCACCTCTCTGCTTCTTGTCTGGTAGCATGATGGTGGAAGATGGGACAGAAGACAGATACCCAGAAGGTTGTTGAAATGAGTGAACAGAAAAAACATATACCTCTATAAAAGTGAAAGATTTGTGTACCTCTGACAACAAAGTAAAAATGAAATAAATCCCACATCCCCTAAGGACCAAAATGAGAACAAAAGGGAGGGTGAAGTCTTTCCTCCATCAACAACACATAGTTCTTGGTACCGAAGGAAAGGCAGATTCCAAGTGAGAGGTGGTTACGGCGTGGTGGAAATGGCCTCTATCTCATTTCCTGCAGCATCTACAGCTGGTGACCACGTGGGGCTGTTGGCTGCTTTCTCTCATAGCCCATTGGTGTGAATGTGGTTTTCATTGCTATATCAGTCCATCTTTTTGAAAAACAAGGGGAAGACAAGAGGTTTTACGTTTCGCCCTCTTTCTTATCGCTCTCAATACAAACGTACCCTCAGCCTCAGCCAGGTGTTCCATGTGGGTCTCTTCAGGTGCTCAGTATTTCTTTATTGTCTTCTGATTCTCTAGCAAGAAAGACATCACCATCGAGTGGCCCCAGCTGCCACTCCAAGATGCTAATGAGCTGATGTCCGTGTCCAAACAGCTGTATTAGGGGCATCATTCAAATCTCAGGTGTTTGAAGTGGTGTCAGTACTGTTTAATTCAAAAAGGTTCAAGCAGCAGTGACTATTCTTTTTTTCTTCTAAATAATTCCTTAAAAGAGCTGCATTTTGATTAACCTTGCATCACTGCTTTCTGTTTTGACATCTGTGCTCATCTTTATCTTCCCAACTCTTATTTATTTTCCAGCTACTAATACTCAGAGATATATCGTATCATTCACCACGCAGATGCTGAGATCTTTGGTTTTCCTGAAGATAATTCCATAATTATGGAGCCTTAGCCAAGGAGAAGTGATCACCCACTGTGACTGCACCTATCTGTTTCAGATTTCCTGTTCTTTGGGCAGATTGTTTTTGCTCGTGTTCATAAGTTAATGCATATCTTTATTACTCACAGAAACCCCTGATTATAATGCTGTATTCAACCTGAAATTCGTATCCTGGTATAACAGTGTGTCCTGTCCTCCTGAGGGCAAGAGGTACCTTCCCTCTTCAAGATAATCCCCGTTTTCCAGGAGTTGTCTGGCTCTGATGATTGTTGGGGAGGCAAGGGAAGGACCAGAAACCTGTCTAGATGTGGTGGTGAATGAAATCTATCAGGAGATCTGAACTATCTAAAAAATCTTGGTGACTAAACCCCATCTCTTTGAACTGGATCTCAGTATTTCAGAGCTCCACACAGAAGTTCTCATGAGTCCAGAGCTGGGGCATTGAGGGATGTGCACTTGGCAGCAGGTGCAAGAGCCTTTGTGTCCCCCCTACCTTTTCTGCCTTTCACTGCAGATTATCACGAGGAGAGTAGTACAGGTGGCAGAGGGAAATGTGTCCGAGTATTTCAAGTATTGCTGTTCCTCTTGCGTACTAGCACAAACTCATTTTCAGGGGTGGGTTTGGCTAAGATGCCAGTGAGTGAAGTGAAGCAGCTCAGTCATGGGAACCTGCTCCCTTCTTCCAGCCTACCTGTGAGGGCACCTGCCACTGTCAGAAGGGTAGAATGGGGAATTGGTGGGGAGGTGGATGCAACGTGTTGCTTCTAAGTCTGAAAGTGCCTGTCTATCAGAATCTTAAGCCTCTCCCTTTAAAAATAAAACCCCTTACTCACATACAGGCCTTCATTTAAACAGCCATTTAAATTAATTTGGCCAGCTGTACACAAAACTTATGCTAGTATTCTCTGTCAGGTCAAATTCCTCCCTAATATGAACTGACAGCCTTTTCCAATTATATTGCACTGCTGAAGAGCATTTATGCCTATCAGCGGAAGCCTCTTAGGCCATCTGGAACGCTGTTTGATTAACACTGGGTAAACAATAGTTCATTCCTTCTCACACATATCCTTCAGCTCACATGTAAAAAGTAATAAATAGCATCATGGTCACGGTGTGAAGTTTAAGTTTGAGATATGCATATGCTTGGAAGTTCAATCTAGGGGTACCAATCTGTTCATATAACTCTGTAGTTATGGCTACACTTGTGTTCAGAATCAAAGCTTGTGATTGCCAGTTCTCTGCTACCTCATTTACTGTTTTTCAAAATCCTTGATGATTGTGCAATTTGCGTAAGTTACACAACAGCGGACTGCTTTGCCCTCTCTCCAGCATGTATGCAAACAATAGACAGACGAGCCAACACCACCCAAACAAGCGCTGTTTTCCCTGATTGCTCTCTGTCCTACTCCGTTTCTCAAAACGATTACCTACTGAATCCAGAAACATAAGGTCAAAGATATTTGTCTCAAGTTCTGGGAGTTTTTCAGTCACTTATTCAAACATCACAAATGTCCTTGCTGTCAAGGCCAACGCGTGTCTGAGTAATATTTGGCAACTCATTTTTTACAAACTCCCTTTTTATAAACACTACACATTTTGCTTTAGTGAACTCATACTCTACTTGGTATCAACCCTCTTTTGGCAGAAAGCTTAAAACTGATAATAGCCACACAAATTTATCCCCTGCCAAAGCAGTACGAGAATCTCATCTCCAAGAACAAGCCTCTGCAAATTCAGTTTCTTTGTGTCTTCTACCGACAGTTACAATACTCATAGGAGTGCTTCTTACTTTTACAGCATTTCCCAAACTGCTAAATCCTTTAATGAAAGGTGTAATCAAATGTTCTTTCATTTTGTAATGCCAAGATACCTAATTTTCCCGTAAGTGCTGCAGTCTACTGTCTGTTGGCTATGTTGTATCTTGCATTGTTGAGTGATTCAGACAGATTTTAGATGCTTAGCACTTGTGCTCAGCTTATAATCAAATACTTTTAACACAGCTGACCTACTTGCCAGATAAATACAGAAATATCAGGAAGCTCTCTTACTGTAGTTGTCATGTTATAGGTTTTCAATAACATTCACGTGCCCTATTTCAATGTTCTCACGTGCTGTAAAGAGGAACTGGCTAGTGGCAGACCAGCGGGAAGTGACGAGCAGGCACTTCTTGGTGTCAGCACTATTAAGCAGCAACTTGTGCTGGGAAAAGTTTGTGAGATTGAGAACTGACTTTCTGGGTCATCTGTTCTGTGCTCAAGCGTCGATGTAGCCCTGTTCCTCTGGGAGTGCCTTACAATAATCTTTCGGCCAGACTCTGCTAATATAATCCAGTGTAACACCAGTGACTTCTTTTGACTTGCTTCCCATTTACCCTGATGAAATAGAGAAAACTTTCTCCTGGTGTCTGGATGAGAATTGAGTTGTTATGGTTTACAACTTTTACACCCTTTAAAAGCCAGCCTTGACAGGTGTGACTATCTTGCCACATTTCAAGGAAGTTAACTGCAAAAGACATAGAATGACTAGCTGTCTTGCAAAGAAGGAATTCAACTTCCCTGATACCCTGTTACCAAAAAATCTGTGAAACCTGTGCATGAATTTTTAAAGAGCTGGTTATATAAGGAGTTTTAGTCTCAGCTCACATTGTCATCTCACTTTTGTCTAATGCTTAAGAAAAGACACTGCCCTGAATACATAAACCCATCTTTGCAAGACCATTGAATTATGTACAGAAGGCAGGGGATGAATAAATAATATAGCAGATTTTAAAGATGGAATCTTTAAAAAAAAAGGTGACGCATTTTCCCATCGTTGAAAGGCAGTCAAGCTGTTGGGCTGTTGTGCAAAGCTTCAGTCAATTTACTGTACCTTGCCCTCCTGGATGGTGACAACATCGGGCAAACCTCCAAGTACCCGTGCACGATCTGGAAATAAATAAACGTAATTTTCTTTAGTGTCTCAAAATCAACTGTGTCCCAGATTCTGTTTCCCCTCTAGATCTTTCCTTTTATCTCTTTTATGTACAACTTGTCTCTGGTATCTGTGCTAGCAGAGAACTATTCAGCATTCTTAGCACACCATTTGGACGCTGAAAAACGTTGAATTCACAGAAAAATGTGTTAATAGCTGGTGTCAGTCACTTACAGAGGGGAATTAAACTACATGTGCTGTGTCCTGCAGATTTTGCCATCAATTCAGTACTACTTCTGAGTGCACAAAAAAAATCTGAATTTTTGAGATCTGGCACTCTAAATTTTTAGTGTCATAAACTAAAAATGTTGTGTTTCCAAAGGGAAATGAATGACAGCTAATAAAGTGGTGAAGATTAGGTTTTGGTCTAAATACAAAGATGGTCTCAGTGACAGCACTGAAATACCACTGCTTTGTACCTATCTGGGTGTAAATAAGATTGATATTTGGGCTAGTTTTAAGCTCAAAGTCTGATCAGAATCATATATAAATACAAATAAGCTGATCACATCCAAGCTTTGGTGCACTTATTCCGGAGTATGGGTTTTGTTCATTACAAGTCTTGGTGGACCCTGGCAGAGGAAGGAAATGACTACACAGAATGTTCCCATCTAATGTATTCTGTAAAAGATGTGCTCTGGAGCACAGAGATAACAACCTTATGAGACCAGGAATGGGACTGTGTTACGTCAGCTAACATGCCAGCCCCTTATGAATGGTCCAGGGTAAGAAATTAAATGCCCAGGGCAGGGCTATTACTGATCACTTTGTGCCTTCTCAACTGGGACTCACAGGGATCGCTGTACACTTCCAAACCCTGCTCGTTTTGGAGTGTATGTCCAGGAGGAGTTAACTCAGAGCCCTCTACACATTTTTCTCCAACAACTTTTCAAATGCCATTTCTACCCTTGTTTTTATACAGGTGTGAAAGTCATCTGCAGTGGGAGAACTTTTTGATGTGTTACAGTTTTTCCATGCGTTTTTCTGTCAATAGGGAGAATACCGAGCTTAATAATTCAAGTTGAATTCTAATGCTTTATTCCTTAAGTAATTATTACATACTTTGGTTTAGTTGCTATGTTGGAATTGACACGCACATGAAAGTATCAGGAGATTCAGAGATCGGTCTTCAAGCAATGCAAAAGCTACTGTTGCTTTCTTACCCGTCTCTGTATGCAATGCAGAACCACTTGACATTTTAGATAGTTCAAAACTAGCCAAGTGATTTCCTCCATCTTTGAGAACAAAGTGACTTTTGTCCAGATAACATGCATGAGAGATCTCAGCAATAAAGATCATTTTTAGAGAAGTAATGAGAAGAGGAGCTTAGACTGGAAAAATCAACATAACCCATAACTATTGTGTGATTAGCTGCGATGTGTACCAACGTTAAATCACTAAAAGGTCACTCCCCTTGCTTGCCCTTAGTGTAAGGACAAATTCATCTTAGGATGAGCACGTGCACATACAGATGTATACATGCCCTCTCTCTCCTGACACACAACCTTCTTGGAGAGGAAGAAAACGTTCATGAACAGTTTATTGTAACTACTGTCAAAGAAGGCCCACTTACTTTTCTCTGCAATCGCAGCTTGCCTGGAGTTGAAAGAAACAAAAGGAAAGTGCAATTTCAGTTAAAATTTACTTAGAGTGATTGAAAAATAGCTTATCTTTTTAATTGCCTTTAATCAGTTAAGGAAAAACTCTGTCATCATTTGACAGTAGTGCTTATTCTTCGTTACCTAACTGTTACATAAGAATCGCACCAAAGAAGTCACATGCAAAACTCCTACAGACTGCTGTAGGACTAGGATTTGTTTCACAGGATATATTTAGCTCCAGCACAAAACAAACAAATACTTCTGTTATCTTATGGCTTTCTTTACTTTATTTACATGCCATAATACTTACTTTAATCTCTGGAACTCAGCAAAGGCTTCATCAAATGCTTTACAAAGAGAAAATTTGATTTTAAAGGCAAGTTCAGAGATAAATTATCACAACTTCAAATTTAGAATGTAGAACGAAATTAAAAATGTAGACATCATTAAAGAAATATTAGTGTATGGATGCATGCATATTGTAGAAGCCCTAAACTGCTGACTGGTTCAACTGATAAAGGCCATATTGTATACAGCAGCTGTTGTATATACATATGCATGTTGTATATACGAATGCATAAACACACTTTTTTTTCTTCTAAATGTCAGGCTTTGAGACAAAGAGATAGCGGGAGAGCAATGGGCTGAAGCTATCTCAGGAAACAGAGGAAGAAACCCACAATACACCACCTAAATTATAGCTTATGGCAGTGGTCTCCCAAACCTTTTTGCTTGTGCACCCCTATAGGTAAAAATTTTTTGAGCATGCACCCCCAATATATTTTTGTTTATTTATTTATTTATAAATTATATGCATGTATTATTGAAGTTCTCGTATTTTCTTCCTGCATCCCAGCAGATTGTCTTGCACACACCCCACTTTGGAGACCACTGGCTTATGGAATACAAAAGATCTGTGTTTTCCAAGTGCTTTTCACATCTGCTCTGCAGCATCGCACTGAGGGCCATGAAGAAACCAGACATCAAACTGCTCTCTCCTTCATAAATTCAGGCTAAGCTACCTGTCGGAGGTCAACCTCTCCTCTTTGAAAAGTAAGAAGAAATCTCTTTTTTTCAGAAAGTGGGAATAGGGCACAGTAGGAGCAACATGGAGATGATCACAAGGTTACTGCTGTTGCGCAGAGCCTTCAGACCCAAAGTGAAGCTTTATGGATGGGAACAGCTGGGAACAGAAACTGAGCAGTTTGGAAGGAGTTAATCTGTTCCCTAGGATCTGAGAGATCTTTCAGAGTAAAAGCTTCCACAGTCAACCCAAATAATTTTAGCCATTCCCCCAACAGCGCTTCATCGTGCTGATGAAAGGGACCAGTCTTGACATCTCTGAAGAATAAGGAGCCCTATTATATCCATCAAAGAAATGGAGTAGGAAAGTAACAGAACAAACGTGTCCCTCCCTTCCTCCTCCAAATATTACTTGGAAGGGAGAGATACAGAAGGCACTCAGTGCTACAACTTGTATTTAAAACTGCCAATCAATGCCAGCAACACAAGGGCTTTTGTAAGATAGCTCAGAAACTGGGCTGACGTCTCCGTAGGCAAACTGCAAGCGGGTATTTGGAACAGGAAAAAGCCGTTCGCAATTTATGACCCGAGAGCACAGGCTGGGGAATACAAATTGCAGTGTCCCCGCAGACACTGCCAGGCTGCTGTGTACACACAGAGACCCTACAACCCAAAGGGTTAACAGGTCTGTGGCAAGATCCTGCTATAGATGCTCCTGCCCAACCACAGCGTGATGCCCACATACAGATTGCGTTAGCAGAGGGAATGGCCTACCTTGTCCAGAAAGATCCACTGTCTTTTTGTGTGCTGTTTTACCATCAAAGAGTTCCATTGTGTATTTGCCTTTGTCCTGTGGAGTTGGCTCATTGATCTGCAACCAGATCTGCTCCCCGGTGACACCAGTCTTCACTCGGTCTGTAAACCTAATCTGGGTATCGCTGAAAAATACACAATATTACGTTTTCATTTCACTGGAGTATAAATGGGGTTTGCTCATGAAGAGTCACTGAGTATGTCTGCAGTTACTAAATGATTTCCAAGGTACTATAGTATGCCACCATATTTTGAAACTTTTGAAATCAAATTCTGATAAAGCTGTGGGCCAACAGGGCAGAACTGACATGACAGTCTTTCCCTGTTCAAGGTCCAGCTCTCCTCAAAGCTTGCAGCAAGGTTATGCATCATAGTCCATGACCTGAGCCATAGAAGAGTTATACAAATTCAGAACCCAGATCTCTGAAGGGTAATCCACACATCCTCAAATGTTCATGTTCTCTTCTTAGCACAGGTTTATTTCTGCTTGGGCAAAACAAAACTATCTAGGGCTGTAGCTACAAAACTTTTGTCACACACTGTCGCTTTTGTCACAAATGGTGTTTGCCTAGTCGGAAGTTTTTCTGATGCTCTGCAATGTTTTGGCATTTCCCATTAAACATACTTTGACGTAAGTATATCTTCTTCCACAAAAAATTTCAATTTCTCAGCTTCCTAGCTAAGCAATTGCCCTGGATGAGGAAAAGATATTAGTCAAATAAGCTACTGGTTTTCTTTTTATCCATAAACTGATAATTTTGAATATACTAGAGGGTCAAAGAACATTTTTACTAGATTAATATGATATGCTTCAAGACTAAATTAGTTACTAAAAATTAGAGAAAAGAGAGAGAGAAGGAGAGAGAGCAAAAACTAAGAGAGAAGGAGAAATCGAGAATACTTCGTATTCACTTACAGTTTTGAAATGCTTAGGACTCCTGTGATACCAGGTCAACATGGGTGCCAAAAAACAGGAAAACCTCAGACTGCTTTCATTTCTCTGACAGTGTTGGTGGTTAGCATCAGTGTCAATAATTACAGCCAGGCTGCTACAGCACATCCTGGGTATACTGTGCCTCATTTACATGAGCTTTACTGAGAGATCAGTAATTCAGATTCCATCCTAAAGACAAACTATTACCATGTCCACAGGAAGTGAAGCAGCAAGAATAGTAATAATAGATTTGAAGCAATTCAAATATGTTATTACTGTTAAATCAAATCTAAGTTGTTTACTTCTCTGGGTTTTCCAGGGCATGCTGTTTGCGCTGGCTGAGAATGCACAGCTGTCTCGTGGATTTGGATATGCAACTCCCATTAATTTTATCGGGAGCTGGGCATTCAAATTCTTTTAAAAAATCTCAGTTCTTCTGTTTCTCTTGGTTAGGTTCATAGCTCTCACAGAAGGCGCTGTCTGGATTTTACTTCCCCAGGCACATGCTGAAACTTGGTTTGCCTCCTAAACATGAACCCATGCGTGAAGAGGACGTGCCCGCTTGTCCCAGTTTCTGTGAGTTGCAGCTTCTAGACAAGCAGACCTCTAGGCTAGGTATCTCTGAACCCATGGAGCTGGCCTGCTTTAAAGCTTGTCAGTCTCAGGTTATATTTGCATCACTTCTTAAAATTGGTTCAGGGCAAGATGCAGCTCCCACATGGGAGGTGGGAAGCGTGCTGAAGCAGCACAGCTCTGATGGCATCCCGTGGCGTGAGACTGTCTGTCTCACGAGGGAAACCTCAGGAGGGCCCTGCACCACCAACACCTGACTCTTGTACTGGTTTCACATGGCTGTAATTCACTGAAACTAACTCATATGAGAGAAGGATTCATGAGAGACGAGAAGAAACCTGGGCCTCGTCTCTCTCATATATCCAGGTTCTGAGTCTATAAAACCAAAATTGCACTGACTTTTGCAAAGCTTTTACATACTCACTTGTGCACCCAGCCTACTCTCAGATCTTCCACATAATAATTAACATAGGAGTACAGTCTGATACCCTCAGCTGTGCTCTGGATTTTCAGGTCTGTTGCAGATAAAGCTGAAAAAAGAGCACATGGTTTTATGCAGCCATGCAGCCATTCACTGAGTGTCACAATGAGTCATTCATTCGAAAAGAGAATTAAGTGCTTACCAATCCTTCTGCATACTTCATTCATCAGATCTGCAAAAGCTGTGGAAATAAAATCCAGAGACTAAGACTCTGTGTCTGCAGCTCAAGCACAGTCAATAATAGGACAAGCACTGGCTCTGAAATATTCTCCCCAGTAGGTCTGAAAAAGAAATCGGACCTATCCTATAAAGCGTATTAGAAATCTAAGTAATGCAGAAATATAGCCTGTTATTCCACAATTTCCAGACTTTATTTAACAGCAGCCTTGATGAATACTGCCGCAGCTAAACAAAACTATTTATCTTAGTCACCGCATTCTCCCAAAATTATACAGAATCCAGATGCAATAAGCTACATTGCTGTCCTACGAGGACAGGCTAAGAGAGTTGGGGCTGTTCAGCCTGGAGAAGACAAGGCTGCGGGGTGACCTTACAGCAGCCTTCTAGTACCTGAAGGGGGCCTACAGGAAGGATGGAGAGGGGCATTTCATAAGAGCGTGTAGTGACAGGACAAGGGGGAATAGCTCTAAACTAAAAGAGGGCAGATTTACATTAGGTATTAGGAAGAAATTCTTCACCATGAGGGTGGTGAAACACTGGAACAGGTTGCCCAGAGAAGCTGTGGCTGCCCCCTCCCTGGCAGTGTTCAAGACCAGGCTGGATGGAGCTCTGAGCAACCTGGTCTAGTGGAAGATGTTCCTGCTCATGGCATGGGGGTTGGAACCAGATGGTCTTTAAGGTCCCTTCCAACCCAAACCATTCTATGATTCTATGATTCTATGATTCTATGATTCTATATTTGAATATTAGTTGAAATGAAAAATCTCAGTTTTACTAACAAGATGATCTTATACACAGGAGGAACAAAGCCACAGGAAGGTGCCACACACAGTTGCCTGTGTTACCCTGAACCTGCTTGCAGGCGAGCAGTCTGGCTGTCAGCTGGTGTGGCTGACAGCGTGCAGAAAGCGGCTCTGACCTGTGTCCTTCAGCTTCAGCTCGCTGGAGTCCTTTCCTCTGTCATCCTTCAGTATGACTTCATAAGTGCCAGCATCTTTCTTAGAAAACTGCAATATTGTAACAGTAAAACTATTCAGAATAGTCACTGTAGAAGAATATAGATTTTACTCCTGAACCCAGCTGACGCCCTGTCCCCATCCCCAGGGAGGTGCTCCATGCCCAGGGCTGGGGTTGCCCCGATGCCCCCCAGCTGCCCTGCTACGGGGATGGGCCTTGGCTGGGGGCTCCTGGCCTGCAGCCCTGGGGGACCACCCGGCCTCAACGGGCCCTAATGCTTGTTCGCTTCCTCAGCCAAAGAACAGAGAGCAAGCAGATGAAGTGGTGAAGGCAGATCACACCCCGCATCTGCAACAAGGCTGGGTACAGACCAGACCTCTCTGGTGACCCTGAGAGGGTGGTCCTCTGAAAGACTGAGTGACAAGAGCTTTCCAAATGCTATTCTCAACGTAGATGTGGTCTCATTCTGTTGTTAAACTGACATGCAAAGGAAGTGACGAGCTTATTATCTCTTCTGTCATCATTTCCTGGAAACCTGAACGAGCAGCTATAGATAGACATTTGCTTTAGCTAAAACACAAACGCATTGCAAGTTTTTCCATTTTTAAAACCCACTTCCTTTTTTGATTGTTCTGCTGAAATATCAGATTAGATCGTATCTTTCATCTGAATGCGTAACACTAACTTCAGCTGAGGGCTAACAAGGACAGTCACTCACCTCTGATATCAGCAGAGTACACACGCCATCCTTAAAGTCATGTTCTTCATCTACCATTATCTCCCTGTCATCTTTGTACCACACAATGTGTGTTTCCTTCTTAATATTAGCCACCTGAGATGGATGAAAACCACATTGTAATTATTCTCTTCATTTGAGCAGGGGAAATTAGTGTTGCATGGGTCAGCCTGTTCGTGTGTCTCATAAAAGAACAGCAAGCTTTACAACTTGACTGCAGTGAGTTGTTGCAGGCCTTAATTTAAAAATGAGACATGCAAGAAGGAAAACAGCAGGGATGAAAAGAGAGAGAAAAAGACTGCCAACATCTTCAAGGAGTCCAAGGAACCAGTGGGTCCTGTCCAGGGGATTTCTACAAGCACAAACAGGCCAAAAATGAGAAAGTCCCAGGATTCACGAAGACCTGTCATTCCTATCCAGGTGGCTGACAGACCTGAAGAAAAAAAGTGCATGCTATTTTCCAAGGTATTTTGTGACAGGCAGTGAGCAGGTGCCCCAGCATGGTTAGCCGTAAGAGGCTCTGTTGCTATCCAATGTGCTATTGGGAGTACGGAAGCAAAGGGAATGTCCTAAGTCCCTTTCCCACCCTCACTAAGTAGTGGTAGGTCAAAGTGCTTTGGACATTGTACTCAGTGTTCTCCTTGCCCCTTACCTTACATTTCAACATCACATTACAGTCATCGGTAACTTCCCATCCCAGTTTATCCACAAAATGAGGACCTGTTTAAAATTACAGATATATTTTTAGGGATCACATCGGTGGTATTCACAATACAAAACCAAAGAGAAATGTGTTTTTCTTGACAAGAATACTGTTATATTTTAACATGGTTTGATTTTTCCTATTTCTCCTTCAGAAGGTAAGAAATCATATTACAGAACAAAACCATCTATTTCAAATTAACATACATAAATATAAACAAACTCTTATACTTAACAAACGAACACGTAAGTGATTCTTATAAATGTCTATATTATCACCTTGTTTCCTGTGCCACTCTTTTCTCTGGAATTCTGCTTCATCCCGCAGCTTCTTGAATACTAGGAATTAAAACCAACAATAAATAGTGAGGTTAAACATCATGTGCCATTTGCATGGTACTGACTGTCACTATGGCTGCTCGGTGCAAAGCTGTCCTTTGGAGGTCGGTGAGAATCCTGCCATAGGGTCAGGTTTTCAGGGAACATTTCAAAGTGCCAGAAGCTGACTGTGGCTAACCCAACTTTCCTAGCTGCTTCCAGTCATCAGGAGTTTAATGTGCCATGTTTGATGAAGTGTATTCCCCAATCATACAGCTACTCTTTGCTCCCGGTAGGAAGGCAAACGAGCGGCAGCGGAGTCAGCAAGCTCTAAGAGGTGCAGCTACTTGTTCCCACCTGAATGGGCGTTTTACATGGGAAATTTAGAAAGAATCCATAGAAATGTAAACCATGACAAGCTGCAATATTTTACATTTCTACAACAAGTCCCCTTCCTCCCAGCCCTTTAAAAATAGCAGTTCACACACATGACCTGTCCTATACAAGGCAGGCAAGCACTGTGACATGAACCACTGGAACACCTGTTGGTATTGAAAACAGTGGAAAGTGAAGATGACAACTGAGGTAGGCTCAGGATAATTTTTCCAGCCTACTGTGCAATATAGATTAGCTTACCATCGCCAATGAGCACAAGGCTAGATTGATTGGTTGCTTTTCCATCCTGCAGTTGGAAAGTGTAAGTCCCTTCATCCTTGTCCTCAAGTTTATCCATAATCATTTCAACAAGGCCGGTCTTCTGGTCCACCTTCATTTTATATTTCTTCAGGAATGGAAAATAAAGCAACAGTTAATGGATGCCAGAGTCAGAAAATATTTGTCAAACATTTGATGGTATCTTTAGGTGAAATTTTATTTTCTTTATTCATATTCCCACTATCTGTAGCTCCAGCTCTAAACATAAAATCAAATAAATAAGATACCTGTTAAAGGTGAAGTATATTTACTGGTGCTATACACACATGTGACATTCCTGTTGTATGGTGACTACTATGTTCTCTGTTCTTCTTGATTAGCAAGGTTTAGATTTGCATCTCTTCAGAATAACACTTTGAGGATGATTATATTTTTATAAGTTTTTGTGTAGAATGCTCCAACTCTGCCTTCTACCTGATATCATTGTTGCAACAAAAGCATGCCATGTCATGTCCTTGGGAGTAACAAGTTCTGCTGCTGGAATCAACCACTTGGGATTTTCTCCTTAACATAATAAGTTCCTCCAAACAGTGAAGAGAAGTGAGAACTGAGCACAGGGGTATGCTGGGGCCATAGACAAAGGAGATCGGATGAATCTGGGCTACTGCAGTGACTCCTTGAAGACCACAGTATTTGCTTACCTGAGGCTACCTTATTGCAGGAACTCTTATGGTGCCCACTAGTTAACAGAACATGTGGTACTCACGAAGGTGGCAGGAAGTCATTTAACTCCACTTTACAAACTGCATCCTGCAGAATTCAGCTGCAGCACAGAGCTACGGACAAAGTCTTTCTAATGATGCTTTCAATGACATGTTTTTTCTCATGAAAATGCATTAGTGTGGAACACTAGTTGGAAGTATATTGGAGACAGAGGCATTAATACTCATTGATGATCATAAAAAGGCAAACACATTTACACAACGAAAAGGCTTACCTCTCCATTGAAAATCTCTTTGTCATTAAAAACAAAGTTGGCCTTTGCATTGCCAGACAGTTTTTCAGCTTGCAACCAGAATCTCACTTCTCCTTTTTCCAAAATTTCCACTGCCAACTCGGAGATAAGTGGGACAGCTACAAAGAAGAAAGAAAAGAATGAAGCATACACTTTGCCTGTGCCCCAACAACCATTCTCTTATATAATTGGAATGCCACTTCTTCCTTTCATACTTGGATACTGTATGCAAGGTAACTAGCTTATGACAGCTCTTCACATAGACAGAATGCCTCTGCATCCACATATACATAGGATGACAGACAATATTTAATCCTTTTATCCTTCAGTCACTAGGTCTGTACAGACTGGAAGTGTTAAGGATTTGAGTTATGCCTCTCCATTCTAATACAAAGCTAAATCTATTTCCAAGCTAAACTGCAAGTATCTCTGCAGCATGATGTGAGTCTGTGTGGCGCAGACCCATGTTTAATGAGTCGCTTAACAATGCTACTGTAAGACAGTGAGTTGACTCAGTGGGAAAAAAAAAACAAAAAGCACCAAGCACGAAGCCAAATCAGAAAGTCAGCTGCTGAGCTGCAGGTTGGGAGATTTTTGTAAGCACTCTGATCCTTTGCTGGGTGGAACCTCTGTCTCCCAGAATTCACCAAGTATCTCAGCACACCCTCAGTCTCTCCAGTACATTTTGTTTACCTATGAATAATGGAAATCTCCTGCATATAGACCAATTCCTTATGTTAGTGGGAAAAAAAAATCATGTAGAGTACCGCAGGTAGTTTTAGTAGGTTTTTTTCATTTTTTTCTCGTTCCTTTTAGTAGAAGTCCTCAGCTTGCTTTCACTTTGCCTTCTTGTTAGGTTATCTTAATCAGCAACATTAAACATGAGCATTTAGACTGATGTTGGGGCATATTGCTCATTTTATTGGCTTCCCTCATTTTTAGCTGCCTTAGTGGATGCTCAAATTTTCAACAAAATCATACTCTAGGGAGGACGTATGCTGTATGTGAACTCTACCCCAATCTCCACTTTCACAGCAGTGTAAAGTCTGCATTGCAAAGGTGTAACATGGAACAGATGAGGACAATGTGCAAACACATTGCAAAATGCTTGATGATGTAGTCTGGTGATAGCGTCAAGATACACCTCCTCCCAGGCAAATCCCAGAACAGGGTTGTTTCTCCCTTCCAACGGAAAACCTGTTCTGTTCTGTTCTATTCTATTCTATTCTATTCTATTCTATTCTATTCTATTCTATTCTATTCTATTCTATTCAGCTCTGTGTGTGCAAAGGCCCAGCTACAGCAGGAGAGGACTGGGACTGAGGCAGTGTCTAATTTCTCTCATCTTTCTATTTGCATCATCCTAAACGATTGGAGTGCCTTCTGGAGCAGAGCTGCCATCTTACCCCACTGCCAAACAAAGTTGGGTGGTGAGGACCCCTGCGTCTTCCTTTCCAATGCTCACCCCTTACCCACACCTCCACCCTCCCACACCCACATGTATGCTTTTGGAGCCTGAATGGCACAGGACCTGAGTCTGGTGAAAATAAGGCTTCTGGGAGGCGAGGCAATAGTCACAGGAAAAAAAAGAGAATTATGAAGAAGGCACAGGCTTTACTAGAGAAAGGAAAATAGTTAAAAAGGAGCCTGGAGGGACAGTGTTACCAGGTGGGAGCAGGACAAAAAACAATCCCACAGGAGTGTGCCCCAGCAGTGCACATGGTCTGTGTGAAGCTTCCTCACCCAGTGCATGACTTTGCTCGTAAAAAACAAAAGGAGCCTCATGCCTTGCATAATTTCTCAAAACAAAGCGACTGAAATGCTGCAGGAGCCAGTGGAAGCAAGAGAGAGAGGGTGTGAATAGACATCAGGCTGCACCGCTTTTGTCTCACTGTCAGCTCTACAGCAATTTTAAACCCCTACTTGATTTGCATGCAATTAACTATGAATATCTTAGTCTAACATGGAAGAGAGGAAAGTATCTCAGAAGCTGTTAAATAAAGGGCTGAAAGGATGCAAAAGGATTCTTTTTTGAGGAAAAGGCTGTTCACTCCCCAGCGCAAAGGAACTGGATAAATCCACGTTACCGTCCTCCATGAGCAAAAGTCTTATTTTAAAATATTTCCATAAGCATCAACAGACAGCTGCTTTAGGCATTTTCCAGCCATCATGCTTACGAGGTTTTACATCCTATTTGTATAGCATCACAAATTACCACAAGCACTTGACAGGGAGTCCTCAGGCAGTTGCTAAATTGAAGAAGTAGAACAATTTATTTTTACCTAGCACCAATATATTATTGCACCCATACATAGTTACATTCTGTAAGGCTCCGTTATTCAAGCAACCCATTTTCCCACGGAGTTATTTGCTGCAGATGTTTCTAAGCAGAAGTTACAATTAAATGCAGTTCAGAAGTACAAACAAAGCAACATACAAGAGCTCACATGGAACCAGAAATGCCTAGCAACTAATATTTTTTTAGAGAATTTGGATAAGCCTCAGATAGATTATCCAGAGAGATGACTAAAGTTTCATGATCCATAGGAGCTCATTATTATATTTCTAGCCTCAGAGCCAAGGCCAGATGTATCTCAAGCCATATTTGTAATTTTTTTTTGCAGTGTCCACAGGGCCTAGAGTAGCCAAAGCAAGTAAGACAGTTTCCTCCTTGAAACATTAGGGTATGTTCTTCAGTGATCTCCCTTTTTGCCTGTGCCTTCTGGAACCTCATGCACAGCCAGAAGTGCACTGTTACCTAACATGATGCAAAAAAGACAACACTGTCTGTGTCCTGAGGAGCTTATTTTGTGACATTAGTTATGAACACAAAGCGTGGAAGAGTACCAGTAAGAGAAGGGTGGGGGCAAGTAAAAACGTGCGACAGCACTAAGGTTTTGTGGTGATGACTGACTATCAGCGTGAAGAGATAATTTGGAGGAAACAACTGGGAGGAGTGGGAGTAAACAAGGGGATGCTTGGGTGGTCTTTAAGCTGTCAAAAGGTGATACAATATGTTGAGAAGAGTAGAGCTGATATGGAAAAACACAGAAAGAAATGAGAAAGAAAGATGATGTGGGCAAAAAGACAGGCCATTTCTGTGGCCAAGCTTTGACTGGGCTGAGAGGCACAGTGTGGGCTGAGTTGGCAGAGGTGCCAGCAGTGCGTGCGCAAAGCTGCAGATGTTAAAACATAGGGAAGAGTTTTAGTGTCCAAAATGAAGAAGAAGATAACATAGTGGGAGAAGACGAGACAAGGTTTAGGTCTCATCTTGTTGTGTGTTTATACAACAATTATACAATCCAATTTATTACTATTTATTATTTCTTTTTCAGTTATTGAAGTTACATTCCAATGAAAATAACCAAGTTGTGCTACTACCAGGATATCACAAAAGTATGGGAGGCCTGTGCAGTTGACAAAAATACCATCCCAGTCAGAAGGAAGGATGTTCATTTTCTGAA